TATCGGTACATATAATGGAAATTACGAGAGGTATAGCGGCCGATAACGAATGCCATGTTTGCGGAACACTGCGGCGAGTCTGTAAGTTACTCGCGCTCGATAGTTTAATGTTTGAACGCCGCTGGAGGCCAAATGTTCCGCCTGTCATTCGTGTTAACAATATGACTGAACGGGCCTCCGTCGATCTTCCGTGATAGGGTATATTCCTGGTGATTTTAATAAACAGCTTTCCGCGGAGGCAACCGAGTTCACGATGAATGCGGACTACCGATGGCGGTGGTTCGCTGGTAATCGATACGAACTATTCGCCAGCGTTGCGCTCCCGCCTAGCGGAGATCGTGTAACATTTACATACTATTTCGAGTATCGGCTGTCGGCTTTTCCAATTGGCGCCTGGAGAATATTACGGACGATGAATGCGAGAGCCGGGCGACGGAGGGGGGCTTCGCTCGCGAATTGTGCCCTTAAAAGCGCGCCTCTTAAAATTGCGCCCACGTAGCTTCGCCGCGTACGTCGCCTCGCCCGTACGAGACACTTCGCGTGCAGGGCCACTTCGTATAAATAACGCGTATTGATTACCCGCGGAAGACGCGTACACACTGCAAACCCAAGCGTGTTATTTCGACACGTATAAGCCGAAGCTTCCTTCACGCGTTTCTTCGTCGTCTGATGCATTTCGACGCGATTTAAACGTCGTTAAGCGACGTGATTTAAGACAGGACAAGATACGCGTAAAGGAAGCTTCAGCTAATCACGCGTCAAAATAACACACTCGGGTTTGCAGTGCAGACGATTCATCTGGTTCTCATTTCAGCCAGCCAATATTTACGGACTCGGTGCAAACGGATACCTCCCCGTATAATCCCATCAGTCACCATTTATGCTGACTAGGCTCGGACTTCTCGCTGATTCATGAGTCCGCAACTAACAGAATCTCAGCGTTGTTCCGTGAAAGAAGCCGGGGCGATTATTCGCGCGCGTAGCGCGCATCTAGCATCCGGCGAAAACGCAGCAGCTGCACATCACGGATCACGCTCGATAGCCTCGCCCGCGCCGGCCGGAGATCCGAGTCTGCCCCGAGTCTGCGTTATTCGAAATTAATCAAACGAACGTAAACTGATACGGATCTTCGCTCTGAAGCGAAATTAATGGCGCCTCGCGCAGTATCGCCTCTACCGCCGGTGGGAGAGCGCGAGCGAGTATCGATAGTAAGTCACATTCATTCGGGACCACTACAGGTCCGACAGGCATCGCCGGCGCTTCGATACCGCCATTGAGCGTGTTTGTTCGCAAGAAATACGACGTAGTCGCGCCTGCGTCGCGGCTGCGGAACAGAGAAACGCAGGAAATTAGATCACCTTGGGACTCCGTGCGAGATGCCGTTTCAGAAGAGACGCGAGACAGTCGGCGAAAGGTCGGACAGAAAGTGCATTCTAAATTCGCGCGATGCAAGCGCGGCTCGCTCTCCGATATAAACCGCGGCATCGATCGTTTCGACATCGAGGCGCGCTACCCGTGCGATTTCATATTTAACCCCCCACGACGCACGATGTTATTTCTCCTCTCTGACGCACTTGTCGAGACACCGAGTAAATATCATTTACATTTCTTGAAGACCGGCGGAATCGCGTTCATCGACTGGACTGTACAAACGGTTGTTTGTTACCCGTGTTATTTCGCGACAATACGCGAGAAGATAATTGAGCCACATGAAACGGTGACGAGAAGTCCGTGTTTGTGTACGTACGATATTACGATACGCTGAAAAATGTTTGTCCGCGTATCCGACATTGGTTACATCGATAATGAATTGATTCGATTACGGGGTTGGATTGCACTTTGGTCTCTCGAGTCGAGATACATGCACCGGCATGTAACAGTCGACGATGATCAAGTAATTACCCTAAATGTGTGATTGCGGATATGCAGTCGCTATTGAGCGTCGGTATGCCATTGTGATATTTTGTCCGAACAGAGACAGCCCGGAGAGCGACGAAACCGTTCGGAGCAATCGCATCCCCGATCAAGTTAATATCACACACACACACTATCGGTTATAAACATCGCGTTGTAAAGACCGCGCAAGGAGTAAAGTTTTAAGAGAGTGTTGCAATTGAAGTTTCGAGCGCGCTTCCCGATGCACGCTCGACGAAGGTGAGAGAAAAAGGGAACGACAGAGAGAGAGAGAGAGAGAGAGAGAGGTGACAGCACGTTAAGTCAGCCTACGTTTTTATTAGCGGTGTATTAGACGCACTGGGAGCAGGGCAATACCATTAAGCGCGAGACCCCTAAACTTCGCAAACTCAGTTCTATTGCTTACCCAATTCTCCCCCGTCTCGATGCTCGTTCCAGTGGGTTAACCGTCGAGGTCGAGCCCGGAACCCTTCCGCAACCTTTGTTTCAGCAAAAAGGGCTGTCTCTTTTTCGCCTAAAACGGCCAACTTCTCCTCGGCTTTGACTTCCTGTGTTTTCGCGTTGAATCTATCTATGCGAGCGAGGACAGGAGCAAAAATTCACCGCACCGGCAAATGCTGCGAGGCACGTTCTTGCGACGATTTTTCTTAAAGCGGGATTCGCCTCACCGGGACGATACGGATTCCGTGATATTTCTCTATCTATTTGCGCGCATAGTTCTCAGCGAGTTTTTCAGAATAACATCCGTAGAGGAGTTCCGCCAAAGCGGAATAGCGGAGCGAGGAGGTTTGCGATAAAGTGGATTTCCAGAGTTTGCAATTTTTGAAGTCAGTTGCGGATGTGCTGCGCCGATAACGTGTACGCGATGATAATTTCGACGATTGAATAATTAGTTTCTCTTTCGTCGAGCTAGTTGTTCGCTGATAAATTAGAATGCACGTGAATTGCCGCATCAACTAATTATGTATCGGCATCGATATTTATCTTGCATTTAGGATATTCTGTTATCGACGTAAAAATCCACAGTGTATTAATCATATACACCGTGATATTAATTGAAGCAAAAGTAGTAATTTAATTAATGACGTTCTGACAAACCGTATGTCATTGCGTGAAAATTAATGTACACTCTGGGGGATGACAAACGATACTGCGATATTAGTTATCTATATATCGCACACGCGTGACTGATTATTCTTTATCCGAAAACGACGAGAGAAGCGACGTTAAATAATCATTTGTAGCATGTCGAAAAACAAAAGCCACGTATAACGTGGTGTACCAATATTCTTCATTGGTTCTCCATGTCTGATGGGATTTACATGGTTAACGTGTGGAAACCAAATTTCGACCGAATAACACTCGAAGAAGATACGAGCGGTTTCTCGTTTCTTCACAGGTAGAACGCGTAGCAACGACGACTAACGGAATGTGACGTGTAACAATGATTTCGCGTCTCGATGATTTGCGTCTCGATGAGAATTTATGGCCGCACCGTAAGGAACTTTATCGCCCTTCTCGGGAGGCACTCGAACTCTTCGATAGTCTGAATGTATTGGAACTTCACGTCACCTTTGAATTTTTCATGATATACAAAAAAAGTTGTCGGGGACGACGTACGAGGATAGATCGCAGCTGGATGGGGACAAGGAGATTTCATTAGGTGTGTAGCTGCAAACAACGGTGCAAAAAAAGTACGGAGTATGGAGCTGCCGATTACAGTAGTTTCGCTTTGAATTTGAGCTCGTGCGAAAGATCTCCGAGCGTTTCGTGTTTGTGCGTATCCTCATGGAAATTGCGATTAATAGGTTCGCCCGCGGGAGAGAGATAACGGAAAGCGAAATAAGATGAATCTAGCTGGCTGGAATTTCAGATCTTATCAGACCTTCGAATGTACAACGCATCGCAGTGTATCCGCGAGGCGCATCATTACCTTTCTTTGACGAAGTTATGGCAACTGGCAGCCGCGGAACGGATCGCGATGGTGGATTCCTTTTTCGCAGGAAATTACCGGAGATACTCGCGCGCGACGACACACGGAAATGGATTCTCTTCGTCTCACCTTGATCACATGTGCGTTAACAAGAAGTAGGATAGTGTGTACACGTCCTTTGCTATTTTTCTTCCACACGCACGTCCGCGAATTGTAACATAGGCATTACTTTCCAGTGCAACAGCCGGCACGAGAAATCTCGTGTAATTTCCTTCCCCCCGTTAATGTTCGAGCCGAATGCCGAGGAAAGTTTCTTTTCGCGAACGACTGCCTCCTGTTCCGCTTATAAGGAGAGGAATATATTACTGCTCAATATTTGCGAGATCTCGCCGTTCTTTTCCGGCGGAGCAGCTGCTGTCTGGTGGCCTGCGCGTATCGCAGCTTGTCGTGATGCCGCATGAATTCCCAACGGTACACCGCGACGATCTTGCCGATCGTTTGCGAGGAATAATATCCGCCGACAGAGAGAGAATCACGTAGCTGCCAATAATAGTAGTATAAACGGGTTGAACGACCGACAGGCCAATTTCTGCGTCCCCGTATTTCTTCTCGTCTCTTCCTCGTTCATTCCCGGGTACCTGTCTCGCGAGGCACCGTCTGGTCGCGGGTCGTATTCATCGATTGTATGGACCAATACATTATTTAAGGATGCTTCGAGGAACTTGCTCGTCACTTCCCGCGAGCGCGCGAACGGCAATAAAACGCAACAAAATTTTGCAATTTTCAACAAGCAAGCGTCGTCGGTGCGTCGCTTAGCGAGGTGCGGACGTTTCCGTCGATAAACGACGCCAGGCGAGTGAACGTTGCGATGGCCGGGAAGGATATGCGATCGAAACAAGCAGTCGTTCCATCAAGCTCGCTTTAGACGAGACAGTTTTATGTATATATATATATATATATATATATATATATATATATATGCGAAGTATTGATTTAATATTCTGAGAAACCTTAAGCGAAACTAATTGAAATGAATTACACATGTAATCAAGTTAATGTACGCGATGGACGGCCTCTTGGACAGCCTTTTCACGAAATGATGTGCAGCGGCCGCGATCATAGATCTATTGGCAATTATTACTTAATTACTTACATGGCGCTGCGAGTATCGGGTATGTCGCGATTGCTCGGGAGACCGTCGGAGGCTTCCTGATTGAATTTATTCCTCGCGTACGGGTCTTCTCCTGCACGCAGGCCGCCTCTCGACACGTACCTGTTGCGCAAAGAAAATGATCGCCGCTAAATTTATCGTTATTTCTATGCGCGCGTCAAATCCGGCCGTCAGATCGCGGCAGATTCGCGCTGCCGGCAGATGCACGCGATGCGGCTGTCAAAACGGGACGAGCTGTAAAACTCGCGCAATACCTATCGTGACAATTGTAACGGCACGCCCGGGGCCGCTATAATTGCGCGTAATAGTGCCGACGAATGGCGCACAGAACGAAACATTCCAGCGTAATGTAGCGAACAATAACGCGCGCGGAAGTGTCCCGGCGGTGCGAAGAGAACTGCGCGCGATAGCGATGCAGTTTCTAGCCGGCGGAAAGTTAACGCTCCTTTCTCGCTGCGGCTGCCTGAAGATAATAGGTTCTTGCGCCGAACGCGTGAAACAATTAATACCAATCTGCCAACTGCGGGACTGAAGTCGGAAGTCGCGCTAGGGAGAAATTAATATTACATTCGCAGCCGCCGCCGTCGCCGTCGCCGTCGCCGATACTTTTTCGCGAATGTTTCAAAGATGCGCGCGAGGCGACGGCGACAGTGTCTGGTCGATCGGAGCTCGAGGCACACTCTCGAAGCCGATTATCGCGACGGAAAGATGTGTCCTAGACTCACCCCTGCTCGTCGAAGTAATTCCACGTCACTCTCGGGTCTGGAGTAGGTGCTGGCAGAAGCTCGGACGACATCACGATGGCCGTGCCATCTGGGTCCACGTAGCCGCCGGAATTCCCGCCGGCAGAAAGCGACAAGGACGCGGGTTCCTTCAGCCGTAGGGCTCTGTTTTCGTTCTGTTGACAGAGTGAAGAAAAGACAAAAGGATAATCTTTGCAATAAGAGAGAGAGAGAGAGAGAGAGAGAGAGAGAGAGAGCGCGCACTCTATTATTATATATGTAATTATTATAATTATTATGATTATTACAGTTATTATAATTGCGATAATAATAATTGTTGTTGTTGTTATATCATTATTATTGGCTCGCATTATTACATACAGAGATATTACAAAAATAATATACAAGGGTTGTCGCGTTTGCCGGAAGTATATCGGTAAGTCGACGAGAGACCTTCGCATACAGAGCGAAAGGTCCCATTGGCTTACCGATATATTCCCAGCTGCTGTCTAGGATTCGAAGTTGCGTTTTGCAACACCTATCCTTAGGAAACTCCGATAAAAGCTTTCGTGGACGCGCGAAATTGTCGCATAGGAGGCGAATTGCGCGCGATCGATCGAGCGCGTCGTTCAGCCGAGACGCACATCGCCGTGCAATAAATATTCTCGGACGTTCGATAAATTAATTTCCATTAATTTCGAGGGAGAGCTAGGGTGACGGGAAACTGGACGGCTCTCAAGATACAGGCAGATATGCATCCATCCGTCGGTAACGAGAACCATCGCAAATTGCATCGCTGTGCGACGCACTTGCTTGCACGTTCGTCGAACAGCACTTCGCCATCCCGGCGATTCCGGGGAGGGACGCTACGGCCCTGCGCGTCCTTTGTCACGGCTCCTTTCTGCGGAGCGCCCGACTTCGAAGCGCACGAGTCAATCGACACGGCAAGACGCACTGACGCATCATCGATATAACGCACTATCGATTTCGAATCGCTACGGACTCTCGCGAGCTCTCTTCGTATCGCCGCGCGGCATTGTGTCATTGCGCCGACGGCTGCTTTGTACTGCCCGCAAATAGGTCACACAGCTCATCGAATTCCGCTCATCAGGTTCCCGGAGGAGGATGGAGAAGGGCAGAAGGGCTTTTCTCGCGCGTCCGTTCCCCGCCGTACCGCGACTCCAACTCCAAGGAGTCACGAGTGGATCTGGCCGCGGATGTTTTCGCGGACGTGGCTCCGGCACGTACGAGCCGCGAGCTTACGTGGGCAAACTTAAGATCGCCCTGTTCTCCGTGAGAAAGCGTAAACTCCGCGCGATCTGCGACGCCGCTGCAGCGTATCCATCGACCGATGCGATTACTTCGGTCAGGCAATTGTAACTTAACGATGAATCGAGAGACGTCGGTGGAATATTCAAGCGCGAGCTAACTGGACTGCTTCTTCCTCGCGCGCGCGCGCGCTTCCGACTGAAATATGTTGGCTTTTAGCAACAGGGGAATTTTTCCGTATCAAGCTACGACCAACACACGCAGCCATCCCACCCACTGGCACACTGGCGGTGAGAGCAATTCGCGATCGCAGCTGTGCTCCAAGACGGAGCCGCGAGAAACAAACGAAACAATGTGGAAGTTAATGGCGTACTTTGCTTCTGGAGGATCAGGCAGCGGAATATAAAGACGATAAACCGATCGCCAGTGAAACGTTGGCGTGAGCGCCCCAAGGCCTACGTAAAGAGCAAGTAGTGGCAGCAGCAGCTGGAGTAGTAGTAGTAGTAGTAGTAGTAGTAGTAGTAGTAGTAGTAGTAGTAGTAGTAGTAGTAGTAGTAGTAGTATTAGTAGTAGTAGTGATAAGTGCGTCTGCAGCAGCGGCAGCAGCCATTAATGCATCGCATTGTACGGCGAAGCGGGCGAGCTACCGTTAATTTTTCTCCGTCGGAAAGTCGGAAGTGCCCAACGCGACTGCGATCCGCAGAATGGCAGTATTTCCCGCAGGCACGGGTCGTTAACCCCGCGCGCGTCGATCTCATGCACGAAAACATCCTCGGTAACGTCACAGCGCGAAAGAAGGTGGCCGAAAACGAAGTGGAAACAAAACGAAACGAGAGTCGCGACAGCCGATGGTGGAGGAACCGCAGGAAGAGCGGCCGCGCGCGCGCGCGCGCGAGAGAGAGAGAGAGTGAGAGTGAGAGTGAGAGAGAGAGAGAGAGCGAGAGAGAGTGAGCGAGAATGCGCGGCGGGCGCAGCAACGCAAGCATGATGAAATATTAATTCACGGCTCACAGACCGAATTAAACCGGAAGCGCAGTCGGATGGTCAGCCTGCGGCAAGCTGTTGCATCCGGTTTCACGGCGTGGTGATGTCCACGTGACGCCAAAGGTCTCCCTCTGCCGCCCTCCCGTCCCTCCCGATCCCGCGTTGTCACGTAAAATTCGCGAGACACCCGCGCGATCGGTCGGCTGTGAGCGCGGAACTTGCGTAAATCAGTATATTCCTTTTTTTTTTGGTTTCAGTTCGCATAGCCGCGCGCCGTTCATTATGTGCTCTGTAGTAGCTTGTGCCGGACAGGATCGATTAATCGCGCGTATCGCCGATTCTCGACAGCAGCTTGGGAAGAGAAAAAAAATGAGGATATTTCTCAGTCGCGCGACCGGGATCGTTGGACGAGTACTCGCCTGATCTGCGAGAACGCATCTTACCTCAGCGGCGTTTAATTATGACATTACGGCGCGTCACGTCGGAATTGACAAATACGCGCCGGTGACACATCGACAATATTAACACCGCCAGTAATATCGGATTCCCGTTTCTCTCGTATCAGATTCCACTGAAGGCAATCTAATAGCCTCGAGTTACGGGTTTAATCGCCCATGCGACGTAATACTGTTGCATGAGTACACGCGAAAGACGTACAGAATTTAACACCTTCAATTTGAATGCTCACGTTCGACGATCAATGCGACGTCACCGCGGAATTATCATTGGCTCTCCGGAGCGAAATAATTATTCCGAGCGAAGTAATTTATGGTCTTTGTAAGTTACCCTATTGTCAACGTTCCTATGGCGTTCGGAGTGGAAAGGTTTCCCCGGAAGCTTTCAACTCCGACAAGCGGACAAACGAAAAAATCGATTCCGATCAGCACACGACTATTGAAGCCTCACGCAGTCGTTGAAAAAGACCGTTATTCTTCATTTTGTTGCGCACTGCTTGACGACAGGCTGATTTCAAGAGAGTCCACGATTATCGAGAAACGCACACGACATTGCTGTCGGAAATACTGTAACAGAAGATTCGCGTTTTTCGTTGAAAACGCGAGCGTTTTCGCGGTATATTCTCAAGAGGGTCGCAATGCCAAGTTTCCCGCTTGTTATAATTTGCGTAAAAAATAACACACACATACACACTTTAACCGCAGTTATACATAATCTCGGAATTATATTTTAACAATTAAATTAATTAAATTCAAAATTTTAATATATAGCACTCGTACGTGTAATATGTTTAATTAATTTATAAAAGATTTAATAAAAGGTAAAATAATGAAGCGACATTACTTCAGTGATTCTCATTACGCAATGCGAGAAAACGAGTAGACGCCGCAATTAATGTGCTCGTATGCACTCCGTGTGCACTACACTAGTTTATTTATATACGCGTATGTCATAGACTTTTTGTTATTGCGTTGTATCGCACGATTATATCAATCGCGAGTCGGGCGATCGATCATTTCGCGAAATGAAAAAAAATGCATCGCTGCGCGCGTCCCACCGAGGAGCTTTGCTTTATTGTTCTCCATATTCCCGGAACAAATTTTTCTTCCGTGGCTTTGCGCGTATAACTGTCAGCGTCGCGGGGATATTATTTCTTTTTTGCGCGACAAAAGCGGCGCACGTGACTCCCATAAAATTCATTGCATATGCGCCGATGCAATGATACGAGAAGCCGGAAATGTCTTCTGGCGAATACACAGCGGCTCGAACAATGGTCGCGAGCGGAGCGTTTGTCGCAACTCGCGGCGGAAGCACGGAAAAAGATATAGGAACGACTAATGAAAAAAAAAAATAAAAAAAAAAAACGAACGGAGAGGAGAGGAGGAAGAGAAATAGGTCAAATCGGCAGGATTCGCGGGTCGCTGCGGACACGCGGCTCCGAATAATGACCACTTTCAATTAATGTCATTCAACATCATCACGTTGCAGACTTATCTGCCATCGCAGTCGCATATAATTTAACGGCTCTGTGCTCCTCCGCATCTCGCCTCACCTCTATGAAACACAACGCCCATATATACTTGACATTCTTACTTCGAGTTTCAGGGAAGAAATTCTCCCCGAGGATCGGGAGAAGAATCTAAAAGTTCCTCTGAAGAACGCAACGCAAGAAGGGTTTCTCCCTCGCGCAAGTTAAAGAGGCCGAGTTTAAACTTTGCCAATTAGTATCCGATAATGCTATTTATACGCGAATTTGCCGCGAACTTTCGCGGGATCCGTTGATCGACTTACGTCGATTTCCTACGCGCTTGCTTTAACTTCAAAATTAAGTATACACTCATCAGCCAGGTAGCCAGCCTGGCTGCGCATTAATTTGTCATTGTCACCGACACTTTCTTAATCTTCTGTCCCGATGTAGTTCCACGAAGTTATGGTATCCCGGAACTGGTAAGTGATTAATGTCAATTTATCGCGAAAGGTCGTCGAATTTCACGGTCTTTTGTCAATTATCAGTCGCTCAAATTCGCGTTCGAAGAGAGCTCACGACGCGGAAGTCACGATGTATGGATCTCCTTGAATTCGCCTCGATCATCACTCCAGAGATTCTTCGAGGTTCCCTTCGCGCGCGTAAAAGTCTGAGTTCGATGCAATGTTCAAGCAATTATTATACGGGGAAATCGATATGTATGAAACTTTTACGCCGTTTTACGGAATAATTAAACCTCCATAATATTTAGTAGTTTATTAATATCACACATCGTTCGAACGAGTATTTTAATTATGTAAAATGTATGAATCGCTCCTTGCGATTCCCGCGAAAAATCTGAAAGTGGTGCATGACAACGTTATCAATGCGTCCTCCATCTCGCCCGCTAATTGCGTGCCGTCTCTTGTAACGTCAAGCGCGTGCAGATTTTATCCCGCGACGTTCGAAGAATTACCGTTTCCGGCGTGGTTTTGCGATAAA